ACTCTTTCTCTCTCTCTCTCTCTCCTCTCTCCACCCTCGAGTCAGTACGTTAGCCTCTCGCGTAATTTTTCTCCATCCAGCTTCCGTCTCTCTCTCTCTTCCTCTCGACGGATTTTTTTCGCATTCTCCCTCCTCGCCTCCTCTCATCCATTTTGGTTTGCCCCGAACCGTCGGTTCGAGCTATCCGCCTTCGTCGTCCTCCCATTGTTGCATCGCTCCGACCAGCTCCAAGGGAAACAATGTCTAATTTCAGTTAATGCGGCTATAATGGCCATCGTCGTCGTTGCATCGGCATGCCGCGCAGCATGGCGATTCGAAGCCACGAGAGTGAGAAAGAGAGAGAGAGATAAGTGAAATCCACACCGATTCTACCCTCGCCTAGCCAGATATATCGGCCTCCGTATACCGGTTCCCTAATAACACCGATTCAACCGGCGCGATCAATTATTTCTTCCGCGTTTAATCGATCCCGTTCGATTCCTCTCCTTCTCTCTCTCTCTCTCTCTCTCTCTCTCTCTCTCTCTCTCTCTCTCTCGAGTTTTTTTGCTCTCGATCCAAGACAGATTCGAGAATTAATTTTTTTTTAGTGAAAATAGTGAAAATATCGGATGATTTTTCGAAACGCGTTTTCGATCGAAGAGTAGAAACGATGTTGGAGGGGTGTAAAGAGTTTTTCGATAGAAATAAGATATGGTTTTTATTTTTTAAATTTTCGAAACACGTTTCCTCGAAATCGATGGACCAATGAAATTCGATCGAAGAATTTCAAGAAAACTAAGATTTACAAATCCAACGAAAATATATAATTTTATTAAAAAAGATCATTCAGAAGCGAATATGTCGTAGAAAGGAAGGAATGGTATCGAGATCCAAGAGATTTTCCCCCCATATTTCAAAAATGAAAATAAAAATCGATCTTGGAAATTCTATCGAACAATTTCAACATATCAAGCAAGTTTCATCGAATAGATGAGAAATTCGATTATCCGAATGTCTTCTTGCATCGTTGAAAGGAAGCAAGGAAGAAAGGAAAGGGGTGAAGAATTTTTCATTATTTTTTTTCGCAGGCGCACGAGGAATGGAAATAAAGTATCCCCTCCCCCTCCCCCCCCCTTTATTTCCCCCCTCGGCCACTCGCAATTAAGGGTTAATTAAATTGAGCGGCTTCCTAGATTTCTGTAATCATCGCGGACAGTATCTGCGGGGTAATCTTGAGCGCATCCTGTCTGCCTCGGGGGCCCCACGGAAGGAAGGGGCCCCCGAGGTAAGGTCATGCACCCCGCTGACCTCGGACCACCGACTCGCCCCAGGCCCCCTCCTCCCCCCCGACGCCTCTTCTAGGCCCCTACCTCGTCCCGTTTCACCGCGGCTCTCCTCTCCTCTCCTCTCCTCTCCTCTCCTCTCCTCTCCTCTCGGCCGAGCAACGCTCGCTCGCCGCCTCGAAACAGCTCCTCCGCGATGCCTTCTTTCTTGCCTTCCACGCTACCCCCCTCTCTCTCTCGTCTCCTCTTTTCCTTCCTTCTTTTTATTCTCTCCCGCCCCCCGAGACCAACATTCTGCCCCGATAATTCGCCCCTCGATGCAACAACCAAGAGAGGGGGGGAAGGTTGAAATTGAAGAGGGAAAGGAAATTTTCGAAAATTCAGCTTAGAGATTGAGGAGATAAGGGGATAGGGAAGAGAAGAATTCGAATTCGTTGGCATTGAAAAATTGTTCGAAGGAGGATCGAAGCGAGAAAGGGTTGGATTGGTAAACCACCCCTTTTTCTTGCCAACAATGATTCTTTTCCAAGAACCAAGAAGCGCACTTTCCCTCTACACCTCTCTCCATCCTCTCTTCCTCTCCCTTCCCCTCGAAAAAAAAAGAAGAAGAAGAAGAAATAGTAGAATAGTTTTAGTTGCGTGCCCGGCGCGAGGACGAGGTGTGTTCCTCTGTGAAACGTCTCGAATTATTATCAAAAAGCGGCGAGGAAGAGGGCATGCATCATTCCGGATAATGAGCGGACGTTGCCGCGACAGGGCAAGAGGAGAAGAGACGGCTGGCCGCCGTGGGAAGAAGAGGAGAAACGCGAGCAAAGGTTTGTCCTTCCAACCGCTTTTCCCTTTCTTCTTCTTCTTCTTCTCCTCCATCAACGGCGGCGTTGGTTCCAGGTTCAAGGTTCGAGACACCCTTCCTCCTCCCCCCCCTCCCATCATCGAACCCCCCCCCCCACCCTTTCCTTTATTATTACAAGAACAACAACTTTCGCTTCTCTCCTCTCCATCTCCTTTCCTTCCTACATTGAATTAATCCCTGAATTATTATTACTCCGTTATTTCTTCCAAACTTCTCTCCTCTCCTTTCCTTTCCTTTCCTTTCCTTCTTTCACCGTTACGAATACGAGCACGGATTAAGGATTATATCGGCGCGATGGATGCACGCTCGCGAGGATGCGTGTAATCCAAGGATCGGCAAGTTTTGCACGGATCCGTGACCGTTGGCTCGTGTCGACGACCGTCTCGCTCTCTTACGCCCCGAACAAGGTCAGATGGTATCTGGAGGCGAGGCGAGGGGAGGGGGAGGGGGGGCGGGTCGAGAGAGGGGTCGGTCGAACGCGGTCGGAGAGTCGGGGAGTCGAATCGTTCCTACCGACCTCTCCTCCGAATTTCTACTCTCCTCGAAGGGGGTGAGATTGGAGGAGGGGGGAGGGGGGGGAGGTGCACCTGGGCGAGGCGCGCGCGCGGGGTTATCGGGGTGTTATCGCGCGGAAGGCGAGCTCGAGGGGGGAGGGGGAGGTGGAGGGGGAGGGGGGAGGGGGTGGGAAGTTGCTTCTTTTCCCGGAAAGGGATTTTTCGGGATGAGAGAGGAGGGGGGGGGAATGAAAGGTAGCTGGAGAGGTTGGGAGGGCGGAGGGGTCGAGGTGAGGGTGGAAGGTGAGGAGAGGGGGTGATTTGAGTCGTTGAGGTGATTTTCGACGAGGGTTGATTGTAAGGGGGAGGGTGGGGGGGGAGGAAAATGGAGGAAGGAGCTGAAGTTGAATCGGTTGGAAATTTCGGCGAAGGGATCGGTTCTGATGAAGGCGGGAGAATGGAAGAAGCATTCGAGAATTCGAGATATTCGAAATTTTGACGATTTGGTTTTAAGGGAGATGCGAGGAATTCGAAGGAAAATGAAAGGGGCTCGAGTTTGAAAATTTCGACGAGAGGATTGAGTTTAAAAAAGACGAGGAATTCGATGGAATAAGTATCCAAAAATTCGAGATATTCGAAATTTTGATGATTTGGTTTTAAGGGAGATGCGAGGAATTCGAAGGAAAATGAAAGGAGCTCGAGTTGAAAATTTCGATGAGAAGATTGATTTTAAAAAAGACGAGGAATTCGATGCAAAAATTGAAAAAGCATGAAAATATTTAAAATTTCAATGATTTGATTTTAAAGGAGATGCGAGGAATTCGAAGGAAAATGGAAGGAGCTCGAGTTGAAAATTTCGATGAGAGCATTGAAAAGATTTTAAAAAAGACGAGGAATTCGATGGAATAAGCATTCAAAAATTCAAGATATTCAAAATTTCGACGATTTGATTTTAAAAAAAGTGTGAGGAATTCAAAGGAAAATGAAAGGAGTTCAAGTCGCAATTGGAAATTTTGACGAAAGGATTGATTCTAAAGAAGATGAGGAATTCGATACAAAAATTGAAAAATTTGATTTTAAAGATGAGAAATTTGAAGGAAAATGAAAGGAAATTTCGAAAAAAGAATTGATTCTGGAGAAGGCGAGGAATTCAAGATATTCGAAATTTCGACGATTTGATTTCAAAGAAATTCGAAGGAGCATGAAATGACTTTAGTCAACGTTTAAGAAGACGTGAGGAAAATAAAGGGAAATTTCGTGATCGTTTGAAATTTTCGAGGGGTTGATTTTGAAAAAGACAAGGAATACAAAAATTGAAGAAGCTTTCGTAATCGTTTAAAATTTCGGTGATTTGATTTTAAAGAAAACGAAGAATCCACGTGATAGCAAAAAAGGAAGAGGGTTTCCTCATCGTTGAAAATTTCAACGAAAAATTGATTCTAAAGAAGGAAAATAGAAGAAACTTTCCTCATCGTTGAAAATTTTGATCAATTTTGAAAAAAGATAAGGAATTCGACAGGAGAATGAAAAAAGCATTCGAAAATTCAAGATATTCAAAGCCTCGATTTCAAAGAAGATGAAGATTCGATAGTAAAAATAGAAGCTTTCGAAATCGAAATCTAAACAAGATGAAAAAAACGGTAGAAGAAAATCTCTTAATCGTACAAAATTTCCTCGAAAATGATCGATTCTGAGAAACTTTCGACGGAAAATATTCAATTTCAAACTTAATTAAATTCGAGTTAGAAGAGAAAACTAAAAAAAAAAAAGATCGCTCTCGTAATCCCCCCAAAATTTCTAAAACGATTTGAACTTCGAAGACTTTTTGACAAGAAAAAAAAAATGGGGCACATTCTTTCCGCGCGACGAGAAAGAGAAAGAGAAAGAAAGAAAGAAAGAAAGAAAATTCGAATTTCGATCTCCAAAAATTCAAAAAAATCTCGCCCGTTTCGAGCAACCCCGAAAGCAAATCCTCCTCCCTCCTCCCCCTCCCCCTTCGAGAGATCCGAGCGCGATCGACACGGTGGCCGAAAGCGGAGAAGAAGGGCCGAGGAACTCGAGCGCGGCCGGATATAAATAAGCGCACTTGTCTCTCCCGCGTTCGAGCGCGACGAGTTCCAAGGATGCTCGAACACCGTCGCTCCTCCTTTGCCCGGCGCGCGAGGCGCAAATAAATAGAAACGCGTTTCCGCCTCGTTGAACTTTGATCCGTACGACTCGGCCAATACTTCTCCCCCCCTCCCCTTTCTTTTCTTTCTCTCTCTCTCTCTCTCTCTTTCTCTCTCACTTCCTTCAAATCTATTCTTCGCTTCGGCGAAAATTCCCCCTTCCCCCCTCCCCTCCTCCCTTCCTATTCGCAATCGAAATGATTTTACGATCAGGTGTACGTACCTTCCCGTCGCATGCCCATCTTCAGGCACTTTTTCAATCGACAAAACTGGCACTGATTCCTATGGTGTTGGTCGATGGGACAGTTCCTATTCCCCCGACACGAGTAAGTTAGGTTTCTCCTTACGCTTCTCTTGAAGAAGCTTTTGCATCCTAAAAAGAGGCAAAAGTGAAAGATATATTAAAAAAAAAAATCTCCTTCCGTTCTCCTCCTCCTCCTCCACCTCTTCTTCCCAGGTTTTCGTCGAACCGCGGCCGAGGCGATATGCTTGGAACCGATTCGACGAGGGATTTTAAAAAAACAGACGAGGAATAGAGGAGAATGGAGGAAGAAAATATTAAGAATATTAGAAAAATTCGGTGATTCGATTTTAAAGAAGGCGAGGAAAATGAAGTCGTTGAAAAACTCATCGTTGAAAATTTCGAGGAGGAATCGATGAGGAAAAATTTCACGAGTTCGAAATTTGTACGAAAGGATCGATTTTCTGTACGTACGCGATCGTATTCGTGTAAATTTTGAAGATAAGACACGTGTCGGAGGCGTAGAACAGTGTATCGGAAAATGGAGAAAGAAAGAAGAGGAAGGGAGGGAAGGAAAGGAGGAGCGATAAAGACGAAGACGAGTGTTAATAACAACGGGAGTTTCCCATTTGCCCGTGTTGTTCGCAGGAATCGTAACGTCGAGGTTGATCGAATCACCACCACCACCACCACTTTTAACCTGTTTAACGCTCTCCCCCTTCCCCTGTCTATCTGTCACGCGCCATCTCGTTAAATCGAATCATACGTTCATATTCACCCTCCTTCTCTTCTTCCTTGTTCAAACACCTTCTTTCTTTCTTTCCTCTCTCTCTCTCTGATCATCTTTCTCTCGAGTATATAAGCTTCGAATGTAGGATATAAGATTCGAATGTGTTCTTCCAAGGAGAAGAAAAGAGAGAATTAACAATACACGTTAGAAATATCGAATCTCTCTCTCTCGTTCTCTCCTTCTTTGTTTAAATATCTTCTTTCTTTCTTTCTTCTTTTTCTAATTATCTTTCTCTCGAGTATATACAACCTTCGAATGTAATCCAAGGAGAAGAAAAGAAAAAATTAACGACATACGTTAGAATCTCTCTTTCTCTTTCTAATCATCTTTTTCTCGTTCTCTTCTTCCTTGTTTAAATATCTTCTTTCTTTCTTTCCTCTCTTTCTAATTATCTTTCTCTCGAGTATATAAGCTTCGAATGTAATCCAAGGAGAAGAAAAGAAAAAATTAACGACACACGTTAGAAATACGAATCTCTCTCTCTCTCTCTCTCTCTCTCTCTCTCTCTCTCTCTGATTATCTTTCTCTCGAGTATATATAAGTTTCGAATTTAATGTAAGGAAAAGAAAAGAGAATTAACGATACACGTTAGAAATACGAATCTCTCTCTCTTTCTAATCATTTTTTTCTCGTTCTCTCCTTTTTCTTTCTTTCTTTCCTCTCTTTCTAATTATCTTTCTCTCCAGTATATAAGCTTCGAATGTAACCCAAAGAGAAGAAAAGAAATGATACACATTCAGAAATATAGAATCTGAAAAGATGGAATCAAATTAATTTATGTGAGAAAATTGTTGAAAAATGGAAACGGAAAGAAAGAAGGTTATTTCGGCGAATTATTTCGAGAATTTGGATGGAAGGGAGAGGGGAATAGTAGAGGAGCGATTGCATCGCGATTCATCGAACTTTGGTATACAACTGGTACAAGTATACTACTTGGAAGCAATCAGGAGGCAATTCATATCGTGGCAACAAAGCGTTCACTGTATGAAAACGGTTTCGACCGCTCGATAAAGAGCCCCTTGCCCCCCCTTCTCTCCTCGCGATTCTCATCGGCGATCGCCAACTTTCGATTGCCTCGGCGTCGTTTCGCGCCGCTGTATCTATCCGTCCATCTTGTCTCGAATCTATCGAAATTAGTCGATCCAAGGAGATGGACGTACGTTTCTTTTTTTTAGAGAAAACTCTCTTAATTGATGATCGAGGTTGGAGAAATATTTCGAAGATAGTTTTGGGAAAGATAGTGTTTCAACAATACGAAAGATCGAAATAGATCTCGGAATATTTGTTCAAAATGGACTTGTGCGTTCTAACGTTAATCGATCGTTGATATAAAACTCTTGTTTGCGAATTAATCATACTTTTGGAAAAGATATAATTGAAAAATTGAAATATTCCGATATTTGACCAAATTGTGGCGCGAAAGAAAGATCATTGATATAAAGTAAATCAATTTCATCTTTTTGGAAAAATACGTGACTGAAAAATCGAAATAGATTTCTGATATTCGACATTTGTCCAAATTGTAGCGCGAAAGAAAGATGCCGAATATAAGATAAAAATTTTCACTCTCGTTTTACGAATTTAATCAATTTCATTCTTTTGGAAAAGATACGTGACTGAAATATGCAAGAAAGATCGAAACAAGTCTCCTATATTCGATATTTGTTCAAAATGTGTTGCGAAAGATGTGGAATATAAAATAAAAAATTTTCACTCTCGTTTTTTACGAATTTACTCTTTAGGCTCGAAGGCTTGACCGTGACCCGTTATGCTCGAAACGGTTCCTCGAGATCGATAACGTATCTCGATTCCCGGCCGCTAGTTTTCAAGAAGCGACGCTCCGCGGCCGCCTGATAATCGCGTGGTTCGCGCGAGAATAAATGATCCACGATATATTCGTGGCCGAAGGCAGGCCAGTTTTGCCCGCGAGTTAAAACAGTTAGAAGGCGGAATCGCGATCGGAGCGGCGCAGATTTATCAGCGTGTATTAACGAGAAAATTAATTAGAGGGGGGAGGAGGGGGCATTCACGCACCCATTCACGGAACCGGTTCCCCGCAATTTCATTTCTGCCTACGTCCACGTTTAAAAAGGTGGATGACGAAGACGACGAAAAGCGATAGAGTCGCTTCGCATCGACACGAAGAGAAGCTTTTAACGAGTTCAGGAGCGATACATCCCATCCAGGAAAAGGAGAGACAGAGAGAGAGAGAAAAAGAGATTCAGTGTTCCTCTTTTTTGAACGAGTTCAAGTTTCGAGGAATAGAAAAGGTTTTTATATATAGGCAAAAAATTTTAGTTTAAAGACGATACGATTTGTTCAGCGGTTGATTGAACGGATGAAGAAAAAGAAAGAAAGAAAGGATCAATCAACGTAGTGAATAATATAATTCGAATCGTACGAATTCGAATCCCCTTATATTTTCTTTCTTGAAACAACAACGTTGTTTAAGAAATAATTGTTAATACAAAACGTTTCGATGAGCTCGACTTTCTTATCGGGAACGAGAGATACATTTACTGGGGAAAGAAAAAAAAGGAAAAAAAACAATTGTCGATTAGATTATTCGACGTTTTATATATACGATAAATCGAGAAACTGGATTTTCCGTGCATGTCGCGGAATATAGATATACTTTCCGTTGATTTATCTTTACGAATCTCCCTTATACAACACGAATTCTTCCAATACGAATCTCAAACGAGCAAACGAATCCACGCAATTTTTCCATGGGAAAAATTCGTTGGGATCGAACGAACATATCGAGGGAGAGAGAGAGAGAGCGAGAGAGAAAGCGTTAAAGCGCGAAACGAAAGATGGACATGGCCGACTGGCGAGCGGGTCACGTGACCGACGCATGGTCGACGAGAGATCCGATCGGGCCGCGTTTCGACGTTAACGATTCGATCTCCCGATGATCTCGCGCCCGATCCGTTGCGCCCGAACGTGTCTCCACCACCACGATCACCACCACCACCACCACCACCACCACCACCACCATCAACATCACCACCACCACGCTCGTAATCGTTGTTCCGTTGCGAAAGAGGTTGTCGCGAGGGTCGGCGTAACTACAAATTGCATCGTTACACGCAAATTACGCGATTACGGTGCGCGAGGCAACCACCGCGAGTGTGGCGCATGCGCGCGTCGCGAGGTAGCCCGCCACAGAGAAAATGGTGGACGGGCGCGGAAAGGGGTGGAAGCTGTGCGACGCGCTCCGGCAAAGGGATGGGGGAGGAAGAGGGAAGGAAGAAGAAGGTTGAAACAACTACTGTTTATACTTTCAGATCGTACACCGGCCTCGTATACGCGGCCCTTCAGAGTGAGAAAGAGTGAGAGAGAGAGAGATAGAGTTCAAATTGCTCGCGTCATTGAATTTTCATTGCTCGGTTCCACGCTCGCTCGCTGCCATTTCGCGTAGTAAGTATTCGAATACAATGCTCCTCAAGTATCGAATCGTCGATCTATCCTTCCCATCGATCGCGCGTAAATGGCGCGCCTCTCCCTCCGTCCTACGTAACACATCGGAAATAACAACGATTCAACGCCGTACTTCCAAATACCACCGTTTCGAGTATCACCCATGTCATCTATCTCTTTTTTTTTTTTTTTTTTTTNAGTCTCAAAAGAGTCGAAGCTAGTCTCGAAGGAAAGGGAGGCTTCGAGAAAAGACTCGGACGACTCGGTCAGTAACCAGTTTCGAGTCGGCCGCGTAAAATTAACGACATTGTTATAATTAATTAGCCTTTGGCTGTTGCGCGCGCGGGCTTCGTTAGCGCGAGGGATAATTGGTCACAGAGGATGCGTTTCGAGATGCGTCGTCGCGGTTCGTAATTCTCGCTCGGCTATCCACTCCGCTCTCCGCAAAACGCGTAAAGTCCACGCGCGGAGGCGCGTGTACCGGTGCAGAGGCCGTGCTCACTCGCGCAACGTTCCAACTTCCTCGACTCGACTCGACTCGATCAACTCCATCGACCGTGGCCAAAACAAGAATAAAAACAAAAGAAATAAGAAATATTCTCGATCCTCTTGAAAATGACTCGAACTATTTCATATCGGTCCCTCGTCTTTCGAGAATTTGCATACAATAATAACAATAATGATAATAACTGGTAGAGAGGGGGGGGTAAACGAAGGAAACGCGGGCTCGTGAAATGAGATTAATAAAGATTAGCAAAGTCGGAATAATATAATATGATCTCGTTAGAGCGATTAGCCCGCGGAGCAGCGGGCTGCAGAATGTCTGGCTTCTTCCTGCACGCGGTCGCCTACCCGGCCATAAGTCCGTAAGTCGGTAAGTAACCGTAAGTAAGGCTCGACGACGAAGGGGGAGAGAGAGAGAGACCCCCGAACAACAGGAAGCCCCTTGCGGGTGGTGTAGGCACACCTTTCGAGACCGCGAAACCGGAATTAAATTTCCTTTTCCGCTCCCGAATTTTCCCCTTCGAAAAGAAAAAATAATAATAATAATAAGAAGAATTATATTCCTCCTTTCTCCTTCTTCCTCCTCCGTGTAACGTGACTCAATTTCAACGTCTCAATTCGAAGCGACAAACACGCTTAAGGAGGGCTTAAACTGCTGCAATTAAAAGCGAAACAGAGGGAGAGGGGAAGGGGGGGGAGAGATGGACGTTTTTTCGTTTTCTATCGACTTCTTTCGACCGACAGGCTCGAAATAATAATAATGGAAATTGAAGCATGGATAGTTCGATCGTTGGATGAACGGAGAAAGGAATTTTATTTTTACGTATATTCTTGATGAATCGAGAAGAATTCGTTCGTATTCGCATCATCTTATCTCGATCGATCGATCGATATTTTTATTTGATATAAAATTGGTTTCGAAAGAAGAAGAAGAAGAAGAAGACGAAGAGACTTTTGACGGAGCGCGAAAAGGAGCTGTTACGTAAAGGAAATGACTCGATCGAAACGAGCTCGAGAAATGGACGTTATCATCGTGACGCGTTGAAAAACGCATGCATATGGATGCGGCCTAGCGGCCGGCGAGCGAATTAATTTCTCCATAGTCCACGATCCTCCTTCCAACGAATCTTCGAACGTTAAACCAGGTGAATTCGCTCTCCGAGTTTTTTTCTCTCCATCCTCGTAACTGACCGTTATTACATCTTAATATATATATATATACCTTTTTTTCTTTTCACATCGCGCATACATTACACACACATATATAAACATATATATATATATATTTGCAACGACGGAACGGATTGAAATGGTTGGCGAAAAAAAAAAAGAAGAAAAAAGGAGAAAAAAAATCAAGGTCTTCCTCGCCTCGATTCGCTACGAGACGACGAGTCGTTCCATAAACGCGTCACACACGTACATTTTACACGAGTATTTTTATTATTACGTTACGACAGAAGAGAGGAGAGGTGGTTCAGTTTCTACTTTTCGACGCGATAAAACGTATTTACTATTATTTTTGCCAGAGAGAAAGAGTATCCGAAATTCAGCTGGACGGTGCCGGGGAACGGAGAGTCGATCGGATAGAAGGCAGTGGTAATCGGTTATCGAGGGTAGAGAGACAATAGCGCAATTGTTTCGGATAGGATGGAGATTATTTCGAATAATCTGCTCCGCTCGCTTGTCATTTTTCCATCGATCGGATCGATTCATCTTCCAATATACGTACATACATACATATATATATATATACACATATATAACTAGCCTGGGATTGATCTCTCGCTGCTCGCAAGCTACGAGAAAAGCAAAAGCGTGAAGGTTTCGATCTTATTACTACAGGTTGAATGATCGAGCTTGCCGATACCAGGTTTTCGAGAAGGGTGTCGAAGACGGAAGGGGAGGGGGGAAGTGCGAAAAGGGAGCGTGTAGGTGGACTGTGCGTCGCGCAATAACCGGAGACGAAGAACCTTGTACGGGGCGCGTAACCGCGAATGGGAGGTTCCCTGGCCCCTGTAATCGGCAGATTAATGTCCGCTCCTCGAACTTAATCCCGGGGCATCGATGGCCCCCCGAATCCGTACAATTTCGACGGCGGCCATTTCATTCCATTCCATTATTCGTCCGAGGTGGACGATTTCGATCGTTCGGTCCATCCATCGATCGATCGATCGATCGAACGATCTTGTTGTTTAAGGAGAGACGCGACAAATTGACGATAATTCGCGACCGTTTGACATCGGTTGACATGAAAATCAATTCGTCGTAATAAAGAGATCGAGCCGACAATCACCGCGATTACGCCAATGAACGTCGAATGCGGAAGGCGTATACGAGCCTCCTATATATATATATATATATATATATATATATACATATATATTTCTATGAATCTCAATAAAGATTCGCGGCCGGCCAATCCCGGCCGCCGTTAAATCCTCGTTCGATCGTTCCTCGATGCGTGGTCGTTAATCGGCCGAAATTGAGACGAGACGAAAGAAGCGGAGGCGAAGAAGAATCTTCCTTCTTCTTCTTCTTCCTCGTCGATCGAAAGAAAATTTTCGAGAGAAAAGTTCGAATTATTTTTCCCTCCCTCTAACGCGATGATATCGCGAGTGAAACGAGAAGGAAAACGGGGGAGTTGAAAATGTTCGGCGCCAGGGGAAAATCAGGGGGTGGCGGGCAATTAAGATTACCGCGAATAGAAATTATCGCGTCGGATTAACCGCGTTATCGCGACACCCAGAGAGAGAGAGAGAGAGAGAGAGGGATAGAGGGAGTCTAACAATGGTAAATATCGTTAGCACGACTGTAATTGGAACCGTCGAGCAGAAGAGAGAGAGAGGATAGCTGTAACTCGAGCGTTCAATTAAGAGACGGACTCTTAACCCGGTCGAATCTTGGCGCGGGCCGAGCCGAGCACAAATTGTTGGAAATTAACGAGCGCGGACACCCAGAGCGAGGAGGAGGGGAGAGGAGTCCCAGATGCGCGACAGCTAATCCCCACGGCATATTATTTTTAGCGGCGTTTTAAACGGTTTTAAACGCTAACGTCATCTCTCTCTCTCTCTCTCTCTCTCTCTCTCCCCCCCCTCTCTCTATCACGTTTCGCGGAAACGGTGCTCGTTTCATCAAAGAAACAGCCACGAGATCCGTGCAAGAGAATTCCAAGAATTTCGAAGGAGACAGATCGAGCACTTCGACCGATCAATTCGAAGGAAGATTCCTCGTCGACGATTCCCTTTCGATGGGAAAAACGAGTTAGAAATCCCCCTAAGGGAGGACGCGTAACTTCTGATTCTCGCCGGCTATACGTCTCGATTAACCCTCGTCCGTATCACTCTTCGTTACATTCTCGAGAGGAAGGGGCCGATGATGAAGGAAAAAAAAAGAAACAAAGCTCTCTCTCTCTCTCTCTCTCTCCCTCCCTCTCACCGTTCAAGGAAGAGCTTACCCTCGCAGGTGAACTGGCCGTAGTGTTTGCCGCTGCTCTTGTCCCCGCACACGACGCACTCGATGTTGGGCGATTTGTCGGTTTGCGAGCTGCCCGACTGGGAGCTGTTGGCCTGGCTGCCGGGGGTGGTGCTGGGCGGCAAGGGGTCCCTGGGCGTGAGAACCCCGGCCGGGGGCACGAGGCAGGTGATGTCCTCCGGCGTGGCGGAGGGCGTGAGGTGGGTCGGGGGCATGGGGGGCGGGGGGGCGATCTGGATGGGGCCTGGGCCCGTGGCGGATGCGGCGGCGGCCGCGGCGCCGGCCGCGGCAGCGGCTGCCGCCGCGGCCGCGCCGGTCGCTGCCAGGCTGGCCCCAGGGTCCCGCGAAGGCCACGAGGGCGGCGCGGCCACCAACGCCATGGAGGCGGTGGTGCCGCGCGCCGGGAACCCCACCTCCAACGTGGTGGTGAACTCGGGGTGGTGGTGTCCGGCTGACACCCGGCCAGGGAACAACGTCGCTGTCGCGGCCGGGTAAACCACCCCGGCAGTCGCCAGGGCGTCAGCGCCTCCTGTCCCGCCTCGAACCACCCTGCCGGTTTCCTCTTCTTCCGCGGCCGCGACCACCCCGTCCAACTTCTCTTCCTCCTTCTTGCCTCCCTCGTTTCTCTTCGCCTCGTTTCCTCGATCGAGGATTATTTGTCAAGCTTTGCCTCGCTCGGCTCCTTGGGCACGGGCTCGCCGAGGATCAGGCCACGTTTACGTCGCTCTTGTTGGCGCTGCTCCCTTGCCCCCTTGTTCCTCTTGTTCCACCAACGGAGTTTCGCGTGTTTCGCGCACCACCTTAAAGACAAATTTGAGAGAGAGGCGGTCGAAAACGCTCGGCTTCGGCCAAGGCGACAAACTCTCTCACGCACTCTTTTTCTTCCTCACTCACTCGCGCACTAGGCAGAGTTCGCGCGACCTCTGGGATCCTTGTCCCGTGCGCGACATCTCGGTCGGGCGGCGGGGTTCCCCGTTCGTTGCCTTCGTCGGCGACCCAAGCATCCGAGCTTCGAGAGAGTCGAGAGGGACGCTTGCTCGTCGCTCTGCCGGGGACAGACGAGAATACAGGGAAACGGATGGATGGATGGATGGATGGATAGATGGTTGGTTGGTTGGTCGGATGGATGGATCCACCACCGACGACGACCGATCGCGATCGCGCGCACACACTTCGCACCTTGTTTCGCAACAACGTGGTATTACTCTCCGTGCGTATATACTCTTCTCGAGAGACGAGCAAGGAAAGGTAAGGAAAGGAAAGGAATCGGAGAGAGAAAGAGAGAGAGAGAGAGTACGAAAGAGAAGGAAAAAGGAAAAGAGAGAAAAAAAAAAAGAAAGAGAGAAGGCGGGTCGTAGGACACGCGCGCGCGCGCACACACACACACACACGCGAAAGAACGAGCGGTGACACTGAGCGGAGCCTTCGAGCCTCGGACGAAATCGGGATCTGAATCGGGATCGAGATCGAGATCGCGATCGCGCGCACGCGGTAGATCAGCCGCGTATCCCCGCGTCGTGGTATCCGCGGTATCGCGGTATATCGGCGCTGGGTGGATGCGCGGTGGCACGAGCCGCCGAGTCACAGGGCGGAGAGGGTGTGCGCTCCGCACGCACGACGACACCACAGGGTGGAGTGTACCGCTGGATATGGGCGAGGGGGAGGGAGGGGGCGCGTATGAGTGCGTGTGTGTGTGCGAGAGGGAAGACGAAAGAAGGAGGCAAAGGTGGTGGTGGTGGTGATGGTGGAGGTGGAGGTGGCGATGGAGGCGGCGGAGGTGGAGGAGGAGCGGACCGGGAGGAGGAAGAGGAGGAGGAGAGGCCAGTCACGAGGTACTGCGTGCAGAGAAAGAGGGAGACGGAGGAGGAAGGAAGGAAGGCGAGATGGAAGGCGAGGAGAGAAAGAGAGAAAGAGAGAGAGAGAGCGAGAAAGAGGAGGAATGCGCGCGCGCGCGCGCACAGCCCAGTCGATAAGCCGCGCGTGTTCTCCCGTGTGCGCGCGGTGGGTTGCGACGACGAGTGCGCTCGTGCCGGCACAAGCAGCAGGAGGAGGAGAAGAAGAGAGGTGATACTCGACTACCGCCTCGATACGACTATTCTTGGGGCCGACCAGAGACCGACTGCCGACTAAGACGACCCCTGACACCGACCTGCCCCCCACCACCGTCGACTCTCTCGCGGCTTTCTCGCGGGTTTCGCCGGTTGCCATGGCTACCGAAGGTGGGGTCGAGTCCCGGGCGCGCCCCGACGCGCCTCTCATTGGCTCCGCGTCTGCCCTACCCTCGCGCCCTCCGACCCCTCGTTCCCTCTCTCTCTTTCTCTCTCCCTCTCTCTCTGTCCCTCTTCGCCGAGTCCTTCCGCGTACGTACACCGGCCCGCGAGCCTTTCTCTCCTCTCCTTCTCCTTCTTCTCCTTCTTCTCCTTCTTCTTCTTCTTCTTCTTCTTCTTCTTTCTTTTCCTTCTTCTTCCTTTTCGTCGTCTCCCTCCTCCTTTCCTCGAACCGCAACCTCCTGCCCTCTCGCGCGGTCATCGCGCGCGGTCCCGCGACTCTTTTTCTCCCGTTGCCTGGCCCGGACACATCATCCACTGACCTATCTTTCTCCTTTTCTCTTTTTATTTTTACTTTCTCGCGCGTTACCCGATCCCTCGTCCGACACGCGATCCCCTTTTTTTCCATCCCGAACGAAAATCCATCCACCTCTCTCTCTCTCTCTCTCACTTTCGCTCTTGCCACTTTTTTTCCATAACGCTTTTGCGACGTTGCCTCGTCGCGTGCCGCGATATCCGATGATCGCGTTTACGACGCGTCGCCAATTCCAGTTTCCTCGGGTTTCGAAGGGAATCGACTCGAAGTCCGTTCCCTCGTCGCGCGGGGAAAACGGAGAGGAAACGGTCGCCCGTTATCGGGATCCTTTCACGGGATTTTCTTCGCCGTCTCCTTGGATACTTCTTTTGTACCTCGTTCGGCGACACGGCAGCGGTGTGTGTATATAATACGGCCGCGGCTCGGACGACGGGGGATGAGAGGTCACGAGGGACGGGGAGAGGGCGGCGACCAATGGGGACGAGGAGTCAAGTGGGGCGCGAAAAATGGGCCGGCCCGCTTCAATCCACCCCCGAGGGTAAGGGTGAGGGTAAGGGTGGCCGAGGAGTAGGGTGGACCGACAGCCTCGGAGACGGCCGGGCCGTCGACGCAGGGTCAGTCGGGTCGTGGACCCGAACCTCGCCGTCTCCGCTTCCTCGCGTTTCCGCTCTTTGCCCTCTGCTCCTCCTCCTCTTCCCTCTCCCCCTCCCTTCTCTTCGCCCTCTTTCCTCCCTTTCCACACCCCTTTCCAACTCTCCTTCGCACGCACGCACGTACGTTCGTAGATACATCGAAAGTCTCCACTTCTCCAACGTTTTCAACTTTTTTCGACTCTTCTTATTTTATCGGCAGAAAAGCACGTCGAAAAATATTACACACACACACACACATATATATATATATATATATCGATGAATCTACGAGAGAACGTGGATGGATCGGACACCACGTGTCGACTATCCATGGCATGCTATCGTATCCAAGGGTGGTGTAAACCTGTGGTTTAAACGCGATGGTGGGTGGTTGGCGACGGTTGAACGAGAGAGAGAAGAGGAGTCGAGGGGGTTGGCGCCGCGTACAAGTGCATATCGGCGAAGGGGTGGCCGAACAATGCGCTCGTTCAATGCGCTCTAGATATGATTACCGGAAACCATCCCATAATTACTTTTTGTACGTCGAAAACGTAGCCCTCGTAGCTTTCGTCCCCCCTTCTCTGACTTCTCTCCGCCAGTTAAAACTCCATCCCTCTCTCTCTCTCTCTCTTTCTCGCGCGCTCGCTTCTTTTAAAAAACTCGCCGTACGCGCTGACACGCGCGACGCTTTTAAAGTGCCAGCCAACGTTAACGCGCTGCTCTCGAGATGATTTATCGAAATCGTCGACCACGGCCCCCTCCCCTTCCCCTTCTTTTTTCTCTCTTGATTTTCATTCCCACGAAAGAGAGAGAGAGGGTTTTTTTCCTCTATCTCTTTCTCCCTCTCCTCTCGAGCATTCCTCGAGCAGTTTCGAGGATAGGATATTCGATAAGGGCGGTAAATGGAAGCTCGCTTAAAGTATTTTAAATTATAGGTAGCCATCGGGAGTGATCGCGTAACGTGGCACGGACCAACGATCCGGAAATATCTTTCGAATTGTCCCACATCTTCGACTCGATTCTCCTCTTATCGCGAGAGGGTGCTCGAATGGAACTTCGTCTCTCTCTTCTTTTTTTCTTTTTTTTTTTTTGTTCCCAGACGCGGATACGATCCTTGGTATTCTCCATCGTCGTTAGATTTCTAATAGGAGAGCATAGGACAGATTCGAATTGTCCCGCATCTTTAATTTTCATGATCGCGCTCGAACGAAACATCTCTTCTTTATCTTTACCTGGATTCTTAATTCCTTTGCACTTTTTCGCTCGAAAAAATTTTCGACGCGATCAGTTCGGTGAATTTGTTGGCTAAAATGATTTCACGCGCGAATTAATTAATATTTTATGTATATTTACGTGTGAAGAAAGAAAATTTGTCCGATATTAAAATTTATATCGATGCATCCTCGGTTTCCAATCCCAATTATTCTTATCTTTCATTCGTTCTATATTCTTCTTACGCTACATCTCTATCTTCCTTTCCTGTATCGTCAATTCCTTAAAGAATAGAAATAATTATTCAGTAACGAAAAATCGAACTCATCGTCGCTCGAACAAATCTCATTAAAAAAAAATGTAATATTTTTATTCCCATCGAATTCGAAGCAACGTCGAAAATGTACTTCGAACATGGTCTAATTTCTAATTTTTAAAGATTGAGAAAAATATAACCATTCCATGCTTTATAAGATCATACACACGTAAACAGCTTATGAATCTATTCGCGAAGCGATATTTTATAAAAAGTCGAACGTAAATAAATATCGTCGCCGTTCGAATCGCCTGAAGGTGACCTCTCTCGAGTTATTGCGTCGAGCCGAGTGGCGCCACATAGAGTTACATTGCAGCGCAAACGGTTAATAGGAGCATGAATAGATTCGAATCGTCCCGCAATATCTTTCACTCGACCGTCTCCAAACATCCTAACAGATCTAACGAAATAATAAATGGATAGATTTGATACAACTATATTATATATATATATATTATTAACCGTGAATATTGTATCGTGGAAAAGTAGAAGGAGTGGAAGGATAGAGTTCGAAAATCGGATTAAAAAACACGGGGGCGACGCGAGGGCGTGCGATTAACGGCGGGGCGGGCGGGGAAGGCGAGAACTCGACAAAGGGGAGGGAGGGAGAGAGAGGGAGGGAGGGAGGGAGAAGTCCCCCGGCTGGCTCGAAGCGGTGGTTATGGTCGCGGGCTGCATTATGAGCGTGTTCATATTTCCTGCGTTGCCTCCTTCCTTCCCTTATCTGTCTTCCCTCCTTCCCCAACCCCGGCTCCCTTTTGTTCGCACTCTTTCGACTGTTAATGCCGCGAAATTAACTCCAGCCAGGAGGAGCGAGTTTAAGAACCGCTACAAGGTATATATATATACAGATATATATATATATATATATTTCGAAACACCGCTCGTCCGAACCCGATCTCTCCATTGTATTCGGGGGGGAGCCGTATTATTTTAACATTATCTGTTACTCCGCTTAATTAATTTATTTATGAGCCAAAACGAAAACTCGTTGGAGAGAGAGAGAGCGAGGAAGGAGAATGGAAGAGGAAAGGAGAAAAAGAATGGGAGATCGTCCCGCTGGGAGCACGATTCGTCCGAGGTAGGAGGTTGAACGGTTCAACCCCTTGGTCGAGGCGAATGGTCGAGGCGAGTGCAAGGACGAGAAGCGGATTTCTTCTTCTCGAGGACAGGGCTCTAATAACGCTTCCTCTCCTTTATTGCCTCTTCGCTTTATCGTCGGCAGAGGAAAGTGGCTCGGTAAGGGTGGTCCCCGTGTTCCCGACTGGAAGGGAACGTTTTTTCCTTTTTTTTTTACGTCTTCCAACGATTTCGATTCTTTCCCTATTTTTGATCTTCTTCATCGATTTTTCGTTGAGTTCAGTTTAAAGTTTCGATCGACTAGAAAAGGGATCGGTGGATAGAGAGTCGAGAGAGAGAGTCTTCGATTCTTTCATTTTTATATCGTGTTGTCGATCCGCGCGTGAATTTAAATTTTTTATCATTGTATTATTATATGTATTATTATAATTATTTAAAGTAATTTTATTCGAAATTTTTAAGTAGTTATTTTTTAATCCTCCACTGCCAAATTTTTCATTTTTATCATAATAATTCGATAATTTATTGTTCGAAACGTAATATTAAATTATTATTTTACTATAATTATTTAAATTTTCGAAATTTTTAAGTAGTTATTTTTTAATTCTCCACTGCCAAATTCTTAATTTTTATCGATGGCGCACGAGTTTAAATTTTCGATCTATAAATCGACAGTAATGAAAATAGTTATTTCGATAATTTATTGTTCAAAACGTAATATTAAATTATTTTACTATAATTATTTAAATTTTCGAAATTTTTAAGTAGTTACTTTTTAATTCTCCACTGCCAAATTCTTAATTTTTATCGATGGCACACGAGTCGAATTTAAATTTTCGATCTATGAATCGACAATAATGAAAATTCAATAGTTACGAATAAAGTTACTTCGATAATTATTATTCGAAACGTAATAGTGAATTGGAAATAACTATTATTATATTATAATTAAGTAACTTTAATTTAATTTCTAATTAAAATAACTTTATTCGAAATTTTTAATTAGTTACTTTTTAACCCTCCATTGCCAAATTCTTGATGTTTATCATATTATCGATTACGTGCTAGTTGAGTTTAAATTTTCAGTAAGAATAATAAATATCCGATCGAAGAAGAAGAAGAAGAAGAAGAAGAATTTTTGATTTTTATCGATAGTATCCGAATTTAAATTTTCAGCCACAACACTCAACTCTCAACAATCGAATACTTTTTATTTTTTATCTTTATCGTATTGTCGATTGGCGCGCGAATCGATTCAAATTTCCGATCCACGAAATCCTCCGAATTTTTCGATTCACGCTCTACGA